ATCATTGATACCAAGGCTTAGCGGCTCTTGCCTGCCAAACATTAAAGGGACCGCTAAGAGTTCTCTTCAATCCGTCATCGCCCATCACTGTAAAGTCAATCTTCCGCCTTGAGATCCAACCATAAGCTCATCCTACACCTTCAAAATATTGGAAGCTTCAACTATCCTTCACATTCGCCATTCTTCCATGCTCCCATTCATCCCTGCAGTGCTTTCTGCCCATATTCCTCTCTTTGACCCATGTGGTCACCCACGTTCGGCTTCTTCTCAGCTAATGAACGTCTCCTTGGTCCAACAACCAGCGAATTCCTCTTCCAAGCTAGGCCACGATCTGATAACCAGCGCCAGAGGCTCCCTAGGGCGGCCTCCTCTGCCTCGATACGATCCTCCTCCCCGACTGATTTGTAAAGGCTTGCTTCCTCCCCTCTTCCTTGTAAAATTGATCTGGTTGATTCTGAGTATAGCTTGCCCTAACATTCTCCCATAAATCGGCGATGGAGTATTCCCTCCTCCACGGCAACATGCCCCCTAGGGGCCGGCGGAGCGCAATGGCATCCCCTCCACGGTCCGATAATGTCAATGGCCTCCTATCCCTTTGCATTAGGTCCCTCAGAACCCTACTTCCACCTTCACACCTCAACCGGACTGCGCAATTAGGGTTAGGGTTAGCCGAACCCCCTTATGTTGTGCGTTGGCTAGCCTCCACCATTTGTTTGATCATCTCTTGTACGCCTAACATTTGAGTCTTCAACTCTTCTATCTCAATTTTCTGTGCACGGATCAAATTTCTCTTTCGGGGAGCGGTGAACATCCACTTCCCACTTCTCCCGACTTTCTTCATAGAATTCAATTCTTCGTGACCCATCCCTCCTTGTGGATCTAAGTGCATTCTACCACTTTGATGGAAACTTGCTGCAACATCTTAGGAATCAATAAAACAGCCCAAAAACAAGTGGAAAATGGGGGGGATTCTTCTTGATGAAAACACTTGTCGAAAACCTTCATAACTTCAATATCAAAACGCCTTTACAAGTTTCCACGGATACAATGCGTCTCACATTCGAGAAGAGAAGCCTTCTCCCTAAGCCCTAGATTAGAAAGAAACAACAGCCACCAACAGATGCCCCTCCAAACACCTACTCCCTTTTTACTCTCACATAAAACCCCTCATAATCCTTAAATTACCCCTAGGGCAACACCCTCATTCCTCCTCTTCAATTTGGGTGGGCCCCTGGGCCCACCCGCCTCCTTTCGTCCCTTTCGGGCCGCCCGCCCAGCGCAGGCGGGTTCTCCGCCTGCAGTACGACGAGACGGCCCTTTGGTTTGGTGTTGCTGGTGGGCTGAACCGAACCGGCCGGTCCGGTCCATCAGATTCATGTAGCCGACCCCACGTAGTGGGATAAAGGCTTGTTGTTGTTGTTGTTGTATTATTTCCATTTTTTTGATTTGTGCAGAGTACTTCATCAGGTTAATGATCTTGTGCTATATTTTTAAATATTGATATTCTGCTATTTATCAAATTTATGTTGACTTATGCACATGTACAGAGTTATGGCATTATTTTATTCTTTTCTGAGGAGTAGCATCATAAAAGATTTGTTGTATCACCGGTTTTATTTTTTAAAGTTCGAATTCTTATATATTGTGCAATTTGAATGAATTTTTTATTTTATTTTATTTAGTGTTGAAGATCTTGCATTTAGTGTTGAATATGTCATACCAATATTTTAAGTTATGAAAAGTTCCTCATTATGTTTTTATTTGTAACTTTTGAAAATTTTTAGTTATTAGGAAAATGTGAGTGCTTCATCTTTCACCATTTCACACTTCTTTTTTTTTTTTACATGGTCATGCCATCCACTGTCTCCACTGTTGAATCAAGGTTATGTATTAGTTGCACATATAATCCCATTCAAAATCCAATCCCGCCTGATGTGCTTTCGCAGCATGACATCCATTTCGCTAGATTGTATCACGTCAATATAAGAAATTTATTTGTTCTTTTTGTTTTTCTAAAACAGAAGTTTAAACTTTTGTGGAAAATTGTCTGGTTTTGAGAATTTTCTGGGGAGCCATCCTACTAATAGTCTAGTACTGAATAAACTTACAAATATCCTATTCAGAAGTCTTTTTAGTGGTGAGGCTGACAAAAGGATGGTGACATTCCCCTCCTCTCCATCCCCACAGTTTAGAACCATTTGAAGGTTGCTTTATTTTTTGAAACGGTCCCTTGCAATAAAATGATAGAAATCTAGTAAAAGTTCTCTTCAAATTTCCAAGTCCTCCATCAAGCTCAATAGGTATCATCTGTAACATGTAGCTTCCTGATGCAGTTTAGGGTTCATGACATTAATTCAATCTATTATTTTGTCTAGAATGCAAGCACTTCTTGGCCCATTATGAAACCCTTTTCAAGTCATGCTTGAAGTTGAAATTCATGCCTTAAGGAGGCAATTTGAAAAACGAATTCAGTTTATACTGCTTTGATAAAAGAACTGTGTTTTTGTGCCTAATTTTTTTTTTCAGAGCATATTAATAAGGTTTTACTGAGGTCCATATTCATAGCCTTCTTCTGACTCTCGAGTTGGCAAATTTTTTTTTTAATCTTAAAGCCATTATAGTTTTTGTTT